TCGTTTGAGTCGAACTTGTCGCAACCTATCGGCCCAGTTTGTGGAAATTCAAGTGAGTCTCTTATCTTCTGAGAAACTTCTCCTGTTATCTCATAAACATCGTCAAAGCAACCTGTTTCATATAAAACCTTCTGACCTAACTCTGATGCTCTCCAATACAATTTGACGTCGATTGGATTTCTCAATGGAAGTTTGTTTATAGCATCTTGAAGTTCTTGCAACCTCATTGGAAGTTCTTCTGGTTCAGGTTGGTATCCGAACAATCCAACTCCTTGTGGAACTGTGTACTTCTTTTGTGCTATAACTTTGTCCGGAACAACTTTTGGTCTTACCAACAATGAAAAGTTTGTTTCGTCTTTTGGTACAAAAGTTTCTGTCAGCTTGTCATCTGGAATTGGTTCCAACAAACCTTTCTCGAAAAGAATGTTAACAGCTCTGACAATGTTGCACTTGCCTTTTCCGAACAATGGGTTTGTAAGACTTTCGTTCAACATGAAGTGGTTGTGGACAATTACAATCTTCAACCATGGCAATTTGAAGTCAACAACATAGTCGTCATGTGAAGAACCTTTCTCAGTCGGAATGTTGACTCGGATATTCACATTTGCCAACGGTGCAACTTTAGCCAATTGACTTCTGAGAATGTACCTTGTCTTCACACATGACTCAAGATACTTCATTTTCTCATCTGTAACAAGACCGGAGTTCCTGAGACATGTGAGAATGCAAGGTTCGTTGACAATTGTTTCAATTGAATTGTAAATTCCATACCTTGTCAGGTTAATGTCAGACTTATTTCTGAACGGGAAGTATCCAGCATGTTGTCTGACTGCTTGAGGGTTGGGTTGATACCATTCGAACTTCACGCTTGCAATTCCTTCAATTGCATTCAAAATATCTGAGTCGGAGTCAAACATTTGTTCTCTCTTTGTAGTCTTGAAAGCGTCAAGAAGTTGTGCAGCTGTTGTGACATTGCCATGTGCATAGTATATATGACCATCTAAATCTGTTACGGTTAGTCTGAGATTGTATCCTTTCTTATTTCCGTCTTGAATTGCAGCAAGTACTCCCATGAAGCCTTCTTTGTTCTTTCCTTCGTCAAAATTTACTGTAAAGGTTCGACCAGATGTAATTTTACTTCTAACTTCACGGTACTTCTCATATGCATATCTTGTTCTTTCCATGGGAGCATGTGCGTCTTCACCTTTTCCTTTTTTCCGTCTCAAAGGATGCAATTGTTCGTCATGTTTCCAGTAGAACCTGGCAAAGCCGTCGTGTCCTTCAACTTGAGGTTCATTAACATCGAAAGGCATGTCCATAAGACGTTCTTCTTCTAACCTCTCTAATCTGTTTGGATAATTTGCGCGTGCTGTTTCTATGTCCATTTCGTAGCGAAGACCAGACAATTTGTCATAGACTTTTATGGGTCTTCCCTTCCTATATTTAAACTTCTTTGAAACTCTCCAACCATATCTTTCTAACTCTGCTTTTATTCTAGCAGACCTTCTATCCATTCTATACGGGGGCATTTTTATAAAAATAAAAAAATGTTTTTTCTTTACTTTACATAACCACCGGCTGCCATAAGTCTTTGACGCCAACCCATACCAGCTAATGAAGGTTGACTTGGTTTAGTCTCCAGACTAAACTTTGGTTTTGGTTTATCTTCAGTTTTTGGTTTTTCTTCTTCTATTGGTTTTTCGTCACTTTTCGGTTCCTCTGACTTTACCTCACTTGCTGGAACAGTTGTGTCGTCAACATCTTCATAAATGTCATATGCCATTTGTTTCTGTTTTCCTTTCAACTTTTTGTGTTTGTTGTAAAGTTTAGAATATTTCGACTCTAAGTCAATGAGATGTTCTATAATGAACTGTTGGTCAGTGAAGTAAACTTTTCCATCTGTTGTCTCGAAAGTTCCTTCAGACTTCAATATTTTATTTGTGAGAGTCTGTTTCTTTTTTGAGATACTTGCCGTTCCATTTTTATGAAAAGTGACTTTGTAGTTAGAGTTTGTATTTCCCGACCTGGCACCTTCTATTATTGAATTTTTCTCTTCATCTGTAAGTTCTTTGACAGGTTTTGACAATGGTTCTGAACTTTTGTTTGTGGTGTCAAATCTACCGTTTCAACTTCTTCGGTCATTTCATCTCAGTAAAAATTTTAGTTTGGTTTGTTTTCAACTGTGTTGTTAGGTTTTTTAAGTCGGTCTAAAACTTCCTGAGGTATAGGAAGAACTTGACAAACACGTGGTGGTGTAACTGCTGGAAGCCGACAAATCCATCTTAACCCATTTGTCTCAATGCTGTATTGTTCTTCATCTCAGTAAAAAATTTTACATTCCCCACGTTTGAGGTGGTTGAGGTTGGTTGTTGTTTACCCACTGTTGTGCATGGTTATATCCTCTGTTAAAGAATCTTTCACCTTGGTCCATATAGTGCCCTGCTTGGTTATAGTAGTCATTTGCTTTGTTATAGTAGTTTCCTGGTCTTCCTACATTGTCCATCCATCCTTGAACTTTTCTCTTGTTTCAGGATTTTGGAATAAGATTTGCTGCATCTCGTGCTACTCCAACCTTTCTGTACAGTTTGTATAATAGGTTGTGCTTTCTCTCTTCAGTATACCTAATGTACTCAAAATCTTCCTTCCAATTCCAAATGCACCTCTGGCTAGTGTTCCCACTGCGGGCAAAAATCTAGATGCGACTCCTGCTAATGCGCCAAATAAACCCATTCTTATGGGTTAAAAATGACGAATTCAAACAAGGACCCCTATGTTTCTAACGACAAAAGAAAGCACTCATGGTAAAAATCTTTAGTTCAACACCAAATGCTTGGTTTATGGATATCTTGGAAAAACTTCCGAGGTATAGAGAAGATGGACCACCATACTGGCTAATATTTTGTCGGTCAAAACACAAGATACTGTGAAGCCATACCATTACAGTCCAAAAAATATTTTAGATGTGAAAACTGCTTTGACAATATTCGTTGACAAATACCATCCAACAAAACTTTCATCTGACTGTGAAAGTTCTTTCAAATCAGACGATATTAAAAACTATCTGCGTTCAAAAAAATGTAAACCAATATTTCATTGTCGACCAAAACCATTCTGCTCTTGGTGTCATTGACAGTTGTATAAAAATCTTAAGAGACTTAAACCAACCACAAGGTGGTGAAGCAAATGAAATGTCATATGACGACAAGTATAGACACTTCTCCATGGCAAAGATGAGACAAGTTTTAAATATTTACAATACCGTAAACAAAAAGGTTTGGGAAACCACTCCCCCGAAGAAATGAAAAACAACCCGACTTAGAGAAAGACTATATATTTAATAGTTTAGTCAAAAGAGACAAACAAGAAAGAATGCCAGGCTTCAAACTTCAGAAAGGTGACAAAGTAAAAATAGAAATACCTAAACGCGACCCATATGAAAATACTATTGACTATGACAACAATGGGAACTCGACAGGTACTCACATTCGTGTTCGTAAAAATAGAAGAAAGTATACAAGAGAATATTATGAAGTTTTAGGCAAACATGGCAAAATGTACAGACTGCAAGCAGAAGATAAAACTACTATTGTCAGACCTCGTTTCAAACTTGTCAAAGTTCAAGGTGGTATACTTTCAAAGACAGTTCCTAACAAATATAAGACAACTCCTGACGAATATGCTAAAGAAGTTGAAAATGACGACTAAGCATTTCTATACCATGCGTAAACTGTCATGTAAGGTGGCATGTAGTCTTTACTTTGTCCCGTTGTTTGCGTATACCCTGAAACGCGATGTATATGGTTTCCTCTCCCTCAGTGTTACTCCAGTAACAATCTATAGCAAACTTAACGTTGTCTTTAACATCATATCCTTTACCTTTTGTCATTGCTGACCAATCCCAATATCTATGCTATGCCAACCTGCGTTAGTTGTACTTAAATCTATGTAGTGACTGTGCGCAGGTAAATTTCACCTGAAATCGTTTTACTTCCACCTGTTTCCTTTGAAGAGTTTGCACAATACAAAAACCTGTCGACTATTTGAGTCCAAGTTCCGAGACCAAGTACTACTTCTGGTCTGGTAGAGTTCATTGACGTGTAAATAGAACCTATAGGATATAGTGTTTGAAGTATTTCTGTCTTTAACGTTTGAAGCTCTGTTTTGTCAGCTTTTTTATCATATAAATCTTGAGCAGTGAATTTAACTTTGTTTTCATCCTCCATGACATAGACATTTCTACATCTAATGTCTTTATCCGATGTTAAACCTTCTGGAAAGTTAGGAGGTTTAAAATATAATCCACCCCCACCAGTTTCTTCAATCGTTCCTAAAATACTTTCTATACCAACAGTTGAGAAGAAGTTATGTGTATGTCCAACGTCACTTTTACTGTTTAAGGTTTCTTGTAAGTTTGTAATATTTGCAATGGTATGTGTATGTCCAACGTCACTTTTCCTGTTTAAGGTTTCTTGTAAGTTTGTAATATTTGCAATGGTATGTGTATGGTTCTTGTCAGCTTTAAGGTCTAAACATCCTGAAACCCACCCTGTATCAGCTTTAAATTTAAAAGTCTTTGATGTCCGTTCATGGTACCATTCAACCCTTTCTATAATTTCATTGTCTTTTTCATCCACATATTCCTTATCTGCCTTCTTCACTAACGCACTAGCCACATATGCTAACTCATCGTCAACATACTCTTTGTCAGCTTTGTTGTCAATATCTGCCTTCAAAAGAAGTTCATCTATAGGTTTCTCGTTTAAAGTTCCTTTTGTTGGATTTATACAAACAGTATGGTTCTTACTGTCTTGAAACAGAAACTCGTCTGTCATTGGGTTTATCGTCAGTTTTAAGTTTCCTTCTTTCAATGACTCAGATATCTTAGAATAGTTTGAAAAGTTTGTTGTGTTCTTATTTAGAGCTTGTACAATGAGTTGTCGGTTGTGTTGTATTTCTCTCATAGACGCTGTTTCTTTCGACATTTTTATTCTAGATAAAAAATGCTTTCAATAGAAAAAGAAAATTCAAGAGTTGCTACAACTAAACCATTAGATGAACTTTTTACGAATGTAGGTCAAAAGTTTGAGACAGAGACCGTAAAGCATGAAGGCTATCGTTTTGACTACCCACTAAGATGGTTAAGAGACCCATCCGTCACAAAAGCTATTGGCTTTCGTAGAATGAAGTTCATTTCAGAAGCCATACATGGTTTCCCATTTACGGTCGGTTTTGAAATTCGATACTATAACAAAGAAAAACGTACGTATGAGAAATTTGAACAGGGAAAACTTTTACAAGTGAATTTGCTTGTAAACTTAGAAACAACTCTTCAAGCTTTTCAAGAAAAAATAAACGATATCTATCTCGAATATGCAAAACAGTACAACATTGACGAAGGAGAGTACCATCTCGATATTTTATATGACAGGAAAAATGCAACTGTTAAAATCAATAGAATAGAAGACCTTGGAGAAGACGTTTATATTTCTACAAAATATAACAACTTGGCATGGTATAGGTTTTTGAGGATGTTAAATCAGCCTGCAGAATATCCAGTACACCCGAACTTTTATGAAGTCGAAAACCCTAATGGAACATATGAAAATGTTTTCGACCAAGATGCTATTATAGTTCATGCTTCATTTTCTGGTGCACAAAACTCTTTTTTATGCTTGGCAAATGACTTTTACGAAAAACCTACAAAGCTATATGAACCACCGAGTGGAAGTATTTCAGACTTTCAAGTATGGTTTACAACAGATGGAAGAAAGAGAATAGTTCCATTATACCATGCGTTTTACTTAGAACTTAGTCTCATATACAACTACTATCGAACGGTAAAAATATAATTTTAATACGGTTGAGGTGTTGGATTTGGTTGCCAACTTGACTGTGGTGCAGGTTCAGGCTGTTGTATAACAGGAGCTTGTTCTTCTGGTTCAGGGTCTTTAGGTATAATACCAACGAACTGACCTACTCTTTTACCAATATTTTTGACTCCGTTCCAAATTCCTCTTCCGACAGATTTTATTCCATTCCATATACCTCTTCCAACATTTCGAAAGAAGTTTCCTATTCTTCCAAAGAAACCCATTTTACTATATGTAAAAATCTAATGTCCGCCTAGTCTCTTACGTTTCCTGTTGAGTTCCATTGCATTCTTTAACTGGAGCTCATACATTCTATTTCTCCTCTGGTAGAAAACATACTCTGGGTCAACTCCTGTGTTCGCGTCATCTGCATAGAGTTGTTTATATCCCACTTCAGGGTTTGTATAAAACTCTTTCCATCTCATATTTGCATACCATGGTGGTAAGCCTAACGCAGCGTCATTTGACATGGCAGTTTGCATTTGTACATCTGTTGGCACTTGACCATAGTTTGCCATTGCAGTTTGTATTCTAACTTCATTTGGAATATTCTCTGGGTTTGGTTGTCCGGGTTGCTGTGCATTCGCTAAGTTCTGTGCGTCCATTTAATATTAGATAAAAATATCTCTTACGAGTACATATGCTGAACATTTGCAGACATTGGTTCATCTTCATATTCTCTATATCTTTCTGCCACGTCAAATAAGTAAATGACACAATGGAAAAAACCTAAAACAAGTAGTCCTATTTCAAACCACATTTACTTACCAATAAAATTTCTTTGTTATGACACTTTTTCCGGTTTATAGGACCTCTCTCATATTCTATCTTATCGTATCTAAAATCATAGTCATGTATGTCCTCTAACCATCTCATAACGGTTTCCAAACCACTTTTATCGGATGTAAAGTAAAAGCATGGATGGTTATGTAAAACGTCTAAAGTTTCTAAAGAGTCTCTCAAAGTCCAGTCTACTTGGTATTGAAAATCGCATGTGTTATAGAACGGCGGGTCTACTATAAAGAAAACATTTTCCTTGTTTTATATTTTTCATACAACTCTGTCCAACGACATCTCACAAACTCTATACCCTCAGTATATTTTTCTATGTTCTCTTTGAAAACCTTTGTATAGTTAAGATATAAAACGTTTGACATAAGTGTTTCAATGTCATGAACTCTTATAGAACCACTATACAATAGTCTAGAAGATATACTATCCCAGTCAATATACTCTGCTTTTTTCAAAACCTCTCTGACAGTATTTTTCTTATCTAATGGTATACGTTCCATCTTACCTATAGGTATCTTTTCTTTTAACTCTTTCAATATTTTGTTTGTGTCTGGTATATGTTTGAGACGGTTCATATAGTTGTCGAAGTCATTGCATATAATCTTTGAGTCAGGAAATACAGTATGGCACAAATGGGATATATAGAAACTTCCACCGAACAAATCTACAAATGTTAGACCATTCGGTAGTTTCTTAAGTTCTCTCAATAGAATATCTTTACATCTACTCTTATTTCCAAAGAAGGGTAACGGTGGTTTTGTAAAATTCATTTTATATTTAATAAAAATGTTTTTTCCCTGAAAAGTGACAGAGAAGGCTTCTCAAAAGTATATTTCTTGGAACGCCCGTAACTTTTCTGTAGCGACGATAGACCCTTACTTGTCCGGACATAGTTATACTATTTTGAGTCCTCTACCGAAAAGTCAACGACAACGACTTTCAAAAATTTTTAGGGCTAGAAGGCACGAAGTGCCTGGGAAGCCCCCTTCACCCAAAAAACCTCATTTTATACTTCATTGTATACTAAACATCTTCAGGGGCTAGAGGGCACGAAGTGCCTGGAGGCCCCACTACCTTTTTTTTTTTTTTTTTTTTAATAGATGAATAGTATATAAATTCTATTAAAATGGATTTGATCCAAAAAAATATAAAACCAAAAATAATTGTTATAATTTAAATGAAGAAGTAATTTAAAACGATTTTATTTATGATCAAATTTTATATATTTTTTTGGATCAAATCCATTTTAATAGAATTTATATACTATTCATCTATTAGTAAACACTACCGTATATTATTTTTTAAGCTATCTTATTTTTTGAAATTTTATTCAAATCTTTGGTCGCAAGAAGAATTGCATGATAAATAAAAACATTTAATCAAAGTCAATTTTATTTTTCATATTCAAATGGACTGAGTGTTAACATTTAACATTTTTTGCTAATTGTCGTCAAAAATTAGGCGTAAAGCAAAAATTGATATTTCATATGGTTTTATGATAGATAAGCATTATATTCCCACTCATTATATTCGTAAATTTTGAGGTTTATCCTTCGCTTTTAAGATCATTGAATTTGATTTTTATATAAAATAGTTATATATTAGAAAATAATATGAGTTTATGTGATATTATTTTTCAGAAGATTTCATTCTATATGCCTATGAAAAGTACTCTCAAAACTAACTTTTCCTAATTATAATTAAATCTAGAATATTGTATTATGCTTAGTATTATTTCATTTTTCTCATTCAATTTAGAATTTACAAATGTCAAAAAATTGAGAGCTGTCACTTTTGATGAATTTCTGTTTATTCCAATATAATATAATAAACCTATAATAGTATCATTCTTTCAATTATTTGAAGAGAAAACCGAAAAAATCTATTTTCGGTCTATAACAATAAAAACTGAAAAGTCGTTGTAAATATATTTTGCTAAAAATTATTCATTTTTAAAGAATCGCTGTGTATGATAATCTTTAAAGCCACGCATTTTGCCTAAAGCATGCTTTATCGAAGAAAATTTTGGGAAAAACCACAAAACAATTTTAGAAAAATATCTAATACTACTCTAGAATATCCTCTTTGCAAGAAGAACTTTAATTTATAAAAATAAAAATAAGGAATTTAAATTTCAATAAATCAAACAACATTTAATGTAATAAGGGGTGTGTTCGTTGACCACTCATAATTTTCCTTAACATAGATTGTGTTGCATACACTGATATCTTATCACATATCTCAATTGAAAATTTTGGTACATTTTCATCATCATTTATGAAGTTCTGTTTAACGAATTCCATGTTATCGTCTTTACTGATATTCATTTTGTTGCACACACTATTAAAGAAGGGATTGTCAGCCTCAGAATCCTTATTTTCATATATACAAGTAAAGATTGATTGAGTCTTTGGTGTAGCATTCATTGTCTCATGAAGGAGGAATAATATATGACTGTATGCATTCAGTCTAAATGCTCGAATGAATTCTTTATTTGGACCAAATTCAATTGGATTATCGGAATCAATAAAGTAAAGCTCTGAATCAATAATATCTGATTGCTTAACGCCTGTGTATCTGTAAATATATTTGTAAATAGCAGTGGATTGATCTGGATTTATTACATCATCTGAATCTTCCAATGAAATTACTGGATTGTAGTTCTCTCTATCGATATTAGCATTTTGTGGATCTGGAAGAAATGCAATTGGTTGCTCACCGATGAATAATTTTGTTTTAATTTGATTTGAGTCTTTGTATAATATTTTTCCTGCTAGTTTTAATGCATAAAATCCATTTAAAGCAACTTTCCCGCATCTGACTATATTAAAACCACGTGATAAATCTGCATTATTCGTTTTAAGCATAAAGCAAGGCTTTCCAAAATCTGTTTGGAATACAATTTGTTTATCTGTATTAGTTTGATTCACTATTACGATATTCTTAGAATCTTGAGTCACGAAAAACTTATTTGGAATTGAAGCCCATGGATCTGTTATAGATAAATGTTGAAATCCTGCTTCTCTAAGCAATTTTGATGCAAAATCAATAAAATGATCAATAGTCGGGCATTGTTTAAGTTCAGAAATCAAATCAAAATTCATCAAAAATGGCAGAATTCTTCTTAGAATTATTTAACAATAATGGAATCGAATAACATAATACATATAATAGTTAATTTCGATTTGATGAGCAGGCTCTACCTATTAATTTCATCTTTTAGTATTACATGCATAGCTGTTTCACTTCGGCAAGGCATGAGATAATCAATATGGTAATTTGGAGTGAAAGCACTTCTTTTTCGATTTGTTATGAAATAATTTCTAGATTTGGGGTAGTTTGTCATAGAACTAAAAAAAAAAAAAAAAAAAAAAAAAAAAAAGGTAGTGGGGCTTCCAGGCACTTCGTGCCTTCTAGCCCCGAAGATGTTTAGTATAAATGAAGTTTAGAGGACATACATGACTGTGAGTTTTATTTACGACAAGATAGAATATGAGAGAGGTCCTATAAACCGGACAAGTAAGGGTCATATAAACATCTGTCATTTTACTCAGAATTTTATACAGAATTCAATAAAAATATATTTTAGGGTAGATGGTTAGATCTAACCTCTTTTCTAACCTCATTTCTACCCATATGTCCTTACTGAAAAAGTATGTGTTCCATCTGTCATTTTACTCAGAATTTTATACAGAATTCAATAAAAATATATTTTAGGGTAGATGGTTAGATCTAACCTCTTTTCTAACCTCATTTCTACCCATATGTCCTTACTGAGAAAGTGTCATATAAACATCTGTCAAAAGCCGCTTTTCTGTCACTTTTCAGGAAAAAAACATTTTTATTAAATATAAAATGAATTTCACAAAACCACCGTTACCCTTCTTTGGAAATAAGAGTAGATGTAAAGATATTCTATTGAGAGAACTTAAGAAACTACCGAATGGTCTAACATTTGTAGATTTGTTCGGTGGAAGTTTCTATATATCCCATTTGTGCCATACTGTATTTCCTGACTCAAAGATTATATGCAATGACTTCGACAACTATATGAACCGTCTCAAACATATACCAGACACAAATAAAATATTGAGTGAGTTGAAAGAAAAGATACCTATAGGTAAGATGGAACGTATACCATTAGATAAGAAAAATACTGTCAGAGAGGTTTTGAAAAAAGCAGAATATATAGACTGGGATAGTATATCTGCTAGACTATTATATAGTGGTGCTATAAGAGTTCATGACATTGAAACACTTATGTCAAAAGTTTTATATCTTAACTATACAAATGTTTTCAAAGAGGACATAGAAAAATATATTGAGGGTATAGAGTTTGTGAGATGTCATTGGACAGATTTGTATGAAAAATATAAAGACAAGGAAAATGTTTTCTTTATAGTGGACCCGCCGTTCTATAACACATGGGATTTTCAATACCAAGTAGACTGGACTTTGAGAGACTCTTTAGAAACTTTAGACGTTTTACATAACCATCCATGCTTTTACTTTACATCCGATAAAAGTGGTTTGGAAAGTGTCATGAGATGGTTAGAGGACATACATGACTATGAGTTTAGATACGATAAGATAGAATATGAGAGAGGTCCTATAAACTGGAGAAAGTGTCATAACAAAGAAGTTAGTATCCCTAAGTCGTGTACGGAGGCACTGCGTTCCTCCGTACGCAATACTTGTGAATTTGACACTTTACAAAACCGTTAACGTATATTTTACAACACAAACGACAACACTAATTTAACCTTAAATATTTACAAACCGCCAACCACTAATGACTTCATTAATGTAAAAATAAACGTTCTCACTTACAAAAGTATTGCAACTCCTCCCATTGCTGTGCTTCACATAACAGCTCATAATCTTCTGACTCACTTTCTTCTTCATATAGGTCAAAGTCACTGTCAAAATGAATGTTAGTAAGTTTTGACAAAGCTAATGAAACACGCTTACCGTTTGTATCGTATGCTTGTATAAACTTTCCATTCTTCATTCCTTCATAAACGCTCAAACTAACTTTACCCTTTCTCCCTCGTATCTGATAGAATGTATTTTCACGAGGAACGAAGAACAAATTCTTGAACTCATGACCGTTGTAGTTTGTTATCTCAATAGTTTTCGTCATTTACATCCAAATAAAAATTTTCAGTAAAAATAAAAAATAAACTTAAAAATTAATGATATCACCACCCTCACACGTATGAAAACATAGCGCAAAAATAAATTTAGGTGAAGTGGTGAGATTTCACCTCTTTTTTCACCTGTTTTTTCACCCACTTGAATTCATTGCTTTATAACTCTCTTCCTTTCTCCAACTCTTCTAACTTCTTCCTAAGTTCAGCAATGTTGTCCTCATGAAGTTTAATCTTCCTTAATATACCTTCTCTATCTAATGGTTGCTTTATCTTTCTAAACTGAACTCTACCATCCTTCATAGTATGAACGTAAAAACCTTCTGGAACCGCTCCTGATTTAATGTATTCTACCAAAAATTTTTGTTTCATTGCTTCAGTGACTTTAGTCGTCATTTTACTCTAAATAAAATGTTCAAATAAAATAAAACTAACATTATTTTTTCAGTAAGGAAACGCAGGAGTTTTACGATTTATTTGAGGCGTAGGTTCTGGTTTAAATGTTGGAGTCGGTTTAGGAGTTGACTTTTGAACAGGAGTTTGTACTTCCATAGGTTCAGGAGTTATTGAAGGTTTTGCTTGTGAAGGCGTTGGTTTTGGCGAAGGTGTTGGAGTTTTGTTTAACTTCAGCTATTTCAGTATTTATTTATAACATTTGCTTTATTTCTTTCAACATCATTACTGCTCCTGCTGTAGCTAGCAAAACCTAGTGGGAGACATATTTTATATAAGGACTTGACCAAATGCTATTTTTGACAGGAGCTGGTGGAACACCTAACCTTGGTGAGACTGCTCTTTGCCATTGTGCAGCTCGTAAGAAATATTCAATAGGTGCTCCATAATCGTTTGGTAAAGTTTGTTTCATAGATGGTGAAGGTTCGCGAGAGCTTGATGAAGAACTCATTTATAAGCTTTAAAAATAAATGTTCATCCTTTATTCCTCACTGTCGTCCGTGGCTAAGTTATAGTCATCTAATCTTATTATGGGGATGCCATTAGCACGCACCTGAATGGCAAAGCAACAATCCCTCATAAATCCAATAAGTGGCTTTGGTACATTTTCAGTTGCTAGTTCAATAGGTCCTTTAACAGACAATTTGTATGTTATTGGAGCAGTAGATGTTTGACCTTGTTGGAAGCAAAAGTCCACTTCTGTTGGAAAACCACATAAGAAATGTGTGTTGTCATAGCTATCCCATTTATGTTCCACACTACCATCATCCACCAATGACCTCATAACATCTTCATTAAATCCTATCATTGTTTGTATTGCAGGCGTTCGCAACCATTTCATAAAATACAGGTCCATATGATTTTTCAGGTTCTGCAGGCATATTTCCATAAGCTCCCATGGAAAGCTGAAGATATTTAAACTTAGGGTTCTCAAAATTAACATAATAGTTGTCTTTCTTTCTAAATAGTGCCCAAATACTTTTAACATTAATAGGCGTATAAGCTGCTGTAAATGTTGCACTTGAACTATCTGTATTCTTTGAGAATGAACCGTCCATAGGAATCCAATCCATAACTTTAACAGGAAAACATAAAGCCTCGTTTGTATAATGTTCTACAAGTTCTGTATAAATGTTAGGGTCTAAAGAGAATGACTTTGGATGAATGAAACATTCATTAAAATCCATCTTTGTTCGAAATAGTTGCTGGTTTACAGTTGTAATAGTAACTGTTCCACTAGCTTCTACTGCCTTCGTTATCATAGTGAATGGTTCATTCCATGGAACAAATTTATTTGTCGGTGGATTTGAATCTGAAGCAAATGCAACTTTAAGAGTTGGATTGAAAGCAATGATATCATTTACAGATATAGATGTGCATTGTAAGGCGTCGCTACTGAACTTTACTTTAAGCTGAATGTTTCCTGCAAAAGCTGGAATAAATCGAATAGCTTCTAATGGAAGGAATCTTCTAACAGGAATTCTTAAACGAAGCTTAAAATCAAATGATTTTCCTGCTGTAATTGGACCACTAACAATTTGTCCTGTTCTGCATGTTCCCGAATGACTCCATACATCTTCATGTCGAGTCTTTGAAAAACATCTACTTTCTTTATTTGTTCGGTAGTTTGTGAGTTTGAAGTTATATATGCTTCTTCTCTTGCGTTGTCTTGAGAATATACGATACGACCATTTGCAAGGATTTGATATCCAGCAACTGCATAGAAAGCGTCATCAAAACCAATCCAAAATCCTGGGGGTTTGTTTTATTGGAACCTGAACCAATTTCTTTATCTACAATAAATTGACCTTCCATTTTATACGTAATGAATGTATTGTAAAGGTCCAACATATTTTCACCAGGAGGTGAGAGATTGAATGTTACCCATGTGTTATCTTTAGCAGTTCCAGTTGTGATGGAATCTTTGCGTCAGAATATTTTCTATTAGTGTCACCAATTTGAACTGCATTGTCTATGATATCGAAATATGAGCGAATCTGATGAATATGCTCTGCTGGAGTAAATTCGTTTAACTGTTCGTTCTGCATGTATTTACTTCAGATAAAAATATCTATTTACTTCATTATTCTCACTCTTCTTCTTGGCATTCGTGGTGGAAGTTGTTTCTTGACATTTTCAATGAACTGTACATTCTCTTTTGTCTCAACTTCTTTCACTGGTGGGTCAGGGTTCTTTGACTCGGTTTGTTTTTCAATGAAATTCACGAACTTTGCAATAAGCTCTTGGTTCGTTATTGAAAGAACATCTGGCTTCTTTTCTTCTGGTTCTATTGACTTTTCAGTTTGAACAGAAGGTTTTATATGGGCTTCGTGGACTTCACCCTTGCCATGCACCTTAATGTTGTCGCTCTCTGCATTCGCTAATGGTACCTTTCTTTTTCTTACGTATATTTTACCATCTTTACTCTGACTTACATAATAGAAAGGATGTTGTATTCCTCTGCGTCATTTAATATAATAGACTCTCGTTCTGATTTTGAC